TAATATTTACGGTATATTATTTGTCAAAAAGTTATTTCTAACACTATTATATTAAGGGAAAAATGCTAAACCCAGAGTAGACAGTAAAAAATCAGCAAGACCAAATCCACATATTGCCATAGCAGTCAAACAAATAAGAGTACATGGGTATATATTAGTTTATTTTTCAACATAAAATTATAATAAATTAAATTTAAATGCGTTAGTGTGAGTAAAGGTTTAATTACAACATATATTTACTATGCATTAATACTGTATCTGATGAATACAGCAAGAGGAATCAAATATTGTATTGTATTTTAGTAATTTATGTATAATAGACATACTCGGTGTTATAAAGGCACGGTGTTTCCATGATACTAGTTAAATAATGCTGCATACGTGTCTCTTGTACATTTGCTGGAATTTTTTACAGTACGTTGTTTTATAACAACTCATTGGTAGTGTGTTCAGCTCATAACAAAAGACCCTGTCTTCTTACACCTATTACTCATTCACTAAGCATTGAATGGGTACAGTACCTGGATGACAGGCAACTGTTGTGGGCAGCAACTTTGAAAAGAGGACCAAGAAATGCAATGGAAATAAGCAATACTGAGTGACTTTCTTGGGTTATCCTGTATTATTAGACCTCTGGGGCTAATCTGAAGAATTTTTTTTTCATACAATTACAATGCTGTATGTACTGTATGAGCACGTGTTTATTTTAATAAGAGAAATAGGAGGCATTCAGATTCAGTCCAAGGAAGTCTAAGATAAGTCCAGTTCCTTGGATCTAGGCATCTTCCTTGTGGGGTGAGCATGTTTATAACTGTAGATGATTGTTACAAAATTATTGGGCAAGTAAAGATAAAAAGTTTTAAAGAATTTTGTTTGGGTGGGGAAAATGTGTAAAAACAGAGTGCATGTTGCACATAGAGTAGAAGAAATTCTGTTGCTTAGGCAAATTGCTAAATCAACTGAGACTTGTCATGGGAGACTGTGCCAGTCATAACTATCACTAAGTCACATGACTTGGAGGTTCTAAATAGGTTAATTTGTTTAGAAGAGCATGCAGTATGCTCACTTATCAGTGTTGTGAATTGTTCTCAGTTGATTTATTGGCCAAACTGTTATTATTTGAATTTTATTTTCAGCAATTATTTTGTGAAAATAAAACTATAGTAAACCTCTCTATTTAATGAACTAATTGGGGAAGCAGGTGGCCAGTATGGCAGTTGTGGTGGATAGAGAAAGATTATTTTTACTCTAACAATAATGAACATTCTGTGACCAAAGGACTGTGTCCATTGTTTCCGAATCTGTTTGATCCAGTGTATTTTGCTCCATAGTAATTCCGTTCTCCTGTATACATTACTAAATTTGAAAAGAGAAACTTTTGTGTAAATAATCAGGTTTCAAACCTTGTTATAGGCACAAAATTTCTGTAGTTAATTTACTTTTATTCTCGGTAATTAAATTCGTATAGGAAACATACATTTATAAAAGATTTCATTTTGGAAAATGCATGTTAAGTACCCTAATGCTGTATCGTAGAACTTGTTTCCATAATAAATTTTTATTTAATTACAGGATTTAGTAGCATTTCCTATTACAGGGTAATCAGCTGGTCTCGCTACAAGATCACCAGCCTGCTTAATCAGTAATTATTAGTTTGAAGTATGTTTAATTACCTTGGTAACTTTCTGTATAAGTATTATGTGATAAACATTTGAGGTAATGTGTTTGTGAAGGAGATTCAGTGTTCTGGGGAAAACCAACACATTGTGAGCTCAGCAAAATAACAGGTAAGATGCAGCAAATTTGTACAAGTTGTACCCATTTGAGAAGTCGGTATTAAAAATATCACTAAAAGAATAATCACATTCATTAAGATTTGAGAAATCTTGTGCAACATTAACCAACTTTAAAATGCCTTCAGATATAGGTAGAAAATGCCAAGAAAAAAAAAAAAAAGCAGTTTACATCATATGTTAAAGACAGACCATAGCCCACATGAACATTTTTATTAGGGAAACCCTTTATTATGTGATGTATAATTACAGTGGGGTTTAGTGCTCTTTTTAATTTCAAATAATTCCTTACAGTGGATCTTTATCAATACAGCCCCACTGCAAGTTAAATGTTATCAAATAGACTTCCTGAAAAGTGTTTTACAAAACCGGGAAATACACTAAACAATTTTAGTTAATACCCAGCATTGGTTATAAACCTCCATTAACAAGGCTATATTAAAATCAGCACACAAGTTTACTGATGTCCTGGCAGTCACCCCTGAGCAACAGGGAAGTTCCCAGGAGCTCCCCAAGGTAACAGGCAAGGGTGAAAAATATTTTCTTTATAAAGTATATCTTATTAAAATTATTACAAATTACTGATTTACCAAATAGTTTGTTAATTGGACAAGTCAACAGATGAATCTACAAAGACAAGGTAAAACCATAGAGTAGATGAGGGGGAAAAGGAGGTGGAAGGTATATTAAGGAATCTGTGGAGCAAAAAAAAAAAAAGTAACCATAGTGGTACCAAACACTTAAATGGTGTGAGGCATGGGTTTTAAATATTACAGCAAGGAAAACTAGAAGCAACAGAGAATCTTGAGAGCAACATGGTGTGAATATCATGTAGGGTATTTGGAGTACAGAGATTAGGTCTAAGTCAGAGGGTGGTGCATGTAGAAAGGGGGAAGAGGGATAGGATGAAGATGCTATAAATATGGGGTGGTAGTAGGGAAAGGGGTCATGCCAGTAATGGTTAGGAGGAGGAGGTTAAAAAGAGGCTTGAACATGTTAGAAAGGGAATGAATGGGGAGAAAAAAAAAGAAGTGATGTTTAATGGATGTGCTGTAGTGTGTGAGCAGAGTAACTTATGAATGGATTCGGGGAAAACTGGTTAGCCAAACAGGGATTAATAAAATGTAATATATAATCGAGAGATTATTTAAGCCTTAAACTATCCAAAATCTGTCCATAGACTAATTAGTACATTTTTGCAGTCTAAATGTAAGAATGTGACTTTCATTATGTGAACATCTTGGGTCTTGTGTGGAAAATTTATATACAATAAAAACATTTGAGAGCTTTATGTCTTACCAGAAAGATTATTTATTAACAGTCATTACAAGGCAGATACTTTATAGGAAAACCACAACTGATGTGTATGTATATCATTCTACACATCAGATAAACAGTAATGTTATGTACAAGTTTCCTTCTTTTATGCAGGTTCACTTTGTGAATTTCCTTTTATGTAATGTGTCCATATCAACTATTATACTTTTAGTGAATTCTATCAGTGCTTTTTGGAAAATGTATTTAATATCTTTTTATGCAGAATTAAATATTAGGATGGCTTGGAAGCTTAGTATAACTGCAATGGACATAAAACAACTGTCACACAAGTGAAGGGCACCTTTGTGTTTGATAGACTGCAAATAAACTTGGCAAGTCTGGGCCCTCCTGGCACAAGTAATTCAGTGCACACCCTAGTAAAATGACACCAAAGGTTATGTGTACAACATATTACGTTCTGACAAGTGAGGCACGTTGAAAGAATTTCACCAAGGAAAACCTTTGATACACATTTCACCTACACTGAGGCTGATAAAGTACTTAATAAAGCACTACAGTGGGTGAGACATTGTTTTAATAAAGGTTATCCCCACTAAGTGTATTATAAATTACCACTTGTCAACTTACACCATTTCTACCCTGACAAAAATGGTAAATAAAAATGGTGAAGTAAAAACATGCCCAGGTCCATCTTGGTGATGTATAGCACGTGAGCACCATGTACCTTTACATAGAAAATGTCCTCTAACATGACAGGCATTACAGTTGATTCATACTCCTGAGGGAAATGTTATTTATTTTTTTTTTTTATCACACTGGCCGATTCCCACCAAGGCAGGGTGGCCCGAAAAAGAAAAACTTTCACCATCATTTCACTCCATCACTGTCTTGCCAGAAGGGTGCTTTACACTACAGTTTTTAAACTGCAACATTAACACCCCTCCTTGTTGACTGCATAATATACAAGACTATGCTGGAAAACGTAGGTCTAAACATTTTTTGATAGGAACATTGTATAATTCTGTTGCATTTTTTTTTTTTTTGCAAGATACCTTACTTCATCCACACACAAAATCAATCGACCTAAAATGTGTACAGTGTAATACGTAAAAAATTCTGATAAACAAACATATTATAATCAAAAAGAAGCCCCAAGCCACAAGGGTTATACAGCCTGATAAACATAAAAGTGTAATATACTGTATAATAAATATCTAGGTGCTAAATAAGATTTTGTTAACCTAAGACTGCAAGATCATGGAATGTAAAGCATTACATAATTTCACGGTGTATGAGGATTTTATATTTTACACTTTCTATCATATTAGGTAAAGAAAAAACTGCCCCCAGAGAAGAAAGGAGTGCAAGGAATCCTCATAGGCCAGTCTAAAGCATAAAACAGTAAAATCTGTACTTGTATTATTTCACGAAACAGATTATGGTGCACATCTCATTAAAGTTCAAATAATTCTCGCTGTATAATTCGGACTTGTGCATTAGCACTATGTCTGGGTCTAAGACTCTCCTATATATTAGTTTTGTAAATTTATGAATTCATAAATTCAACAATCTAAGTAGTTAGACTAGCACATACAAAATATTTAAAATGCCTTAATTTCACTCATTCACTATGCCACTGTAAAGGCATAGTGAATGAGAAACAGTACATTGGCTACTTTTAAATAGCTTGTTAAGAACAAATCTGAAGACAAAAATATGCATTTTTAAAAGATGGGGAAAATATACACTTAACAAATTGCTAGACATCATAAGTGGTTGCAGAAACATTGCCACCTGTTCCAGTCCAGTTAGTATGATGGAATTTGCCAGGTTCAGCAGTCAACTCATAAGTGTGTGCTCCAAAATAGTCACGTTGAGCCTGAAAAACAAATATTTTTGTGGGTGCTTATAGTTCCCATTACTAATTTAAGTGTATTCATATTTCTTATAAAACATCTTTATTTCTTGTAATTCATCTTCATTTCATATACTCCTGTTAAAAAATATGTGGCAGCTCGGTAAATAATAAATACTGTACAAGTTCACAACCTACAAACTGACATCCTTGAGCATTATCATGTTGAATCATCTAAAAATTAATCTTGTGCTTGTGGGTTGGTTGTGAATTGTTACAGCTACAGTAATATAACTCATTATTACAATACATACGTAAATATTGTCTGCATCGTGTAGACAACATTCATACTACTGACAAAAAAAAATGTCTCGAGTAGTTTACTATTGGTATATAAAGTCCAACCAATATTGTTGTAATTATCTTATTTGAATCTGTCATCTTATTTAAGTTTTAATTTTTTAATGACTATTTTGAGACTTGGCTTAGTTGATGAAAGAATAATCCAAATTGAAACACTGATTTCTAACATGCTGATACAAGGCTAGCAATTCTGCTGAATAACAAATATGATTTTCAAAACTGTAAATAGATTGGAGGAGAATATAACAAGTGTGTGTGTGCACAAATACACTGTACTGTTCACTTTTCCTCATGCCCTGAGAAGTGTATGTCACCCTGAATGTCTACTTGTTTTATCACAACATACAAATATGAACAAACCTTAGGTTTATACATTAAAATATTATGTGAAGTATTTGAGAGTACTGTACTGCATAATTCTTATTGCTATTTATCATGTGATACTAGACTTCTTTACCCAAAAAACCAGTTAGTAAAACACTACTTCTAGAGTGAAAATTCATTGTCCATAAATCACCTCTTGGGTGAAAGGGCTGTTTCCAGCTTTTCACATTTCAAAATTCTTAAGAAAAAATAAAAATCCCAGCAATGAACTGAAAAAGAGAGGAAAGCACTTTTTGCTTGCATATCAGTGGAGTAATTGAGCCTTGACTTCTAGTTTGGTGCTACTTTGATTATCAGTCCACAGTTTACAACCGAGGGTCAGATCATGGGTTCAAAGCAGGGGCAGTGCCAGAATTTCGGGGCTGGAGTGGGGGGGGGGGCTTATGGGTAGTTAATGGTAGGGAGAGAGGGCTAAGACACTTTTTGAAGCAGCATTATTACTATTTTATTTAGAGGGCTAATCCTTTCCTTGGCACTACCCCTGGTTCAAGGTTCAATCACTTCAGTAAACTATCAGGATAGTTAATCTACATCTGGTGTTAGTGCATCAGGTAAAGAAGCCTCGTCTGAGAGTGCTTCTGCATTCTCAATGCTTTTCGCTTTTTGAATAGCTCTGCAGAGCCTTAGCCTCGTTAGTTAATTTTACTACAGGTACATATGATTTCTCACCTGAATGAGATTTGCAGGAAGCACAGCAGATCTATAGCCATCATAGAAAGCAAGTGCAGAACTCAGGGCAGGTGTAGGGATGCCAAGCAGAGCACCCTGAGCCACAACAGCCCGCCATCCTGACTGACAATTGCCTACAGCATCTTTAAAGAAGTCATCCAGTAAAAGGTTGGTTAACTGAGAGTTCTTGTCAAAGGCCTCCTTGATCTTTCCCAGGAACACACTATGCAGAGAAAAAACAAACACTTACATTACTTACATTTACAATAAACTTCTCAGAGGGAAAAATATTTAATAAATGCTTTGCCAAGAGGATATTTAGAAATAATAAACCCATGTGAGAACCGTGTCTGCTACTATGGCAGTCAAACATGCCATTTTTATTCAATAACCACAGGGTGTGATAAAAAACATGAAGTGTGGGACATTATTATTTATAATCAAGAAGAAGTGCTAAACCACAAGGGCTATACAGCGCTGCAGGGCAGGAAGGAAGCGAGGGTATCAGGTGGCAAAAGGGAGATGGATGAGTAATAGTTACGGAAAACAGCGGGGGCAGTGGATGGTGAAAGGGTAGAGGGCAGCAAGAGATTGAGGTAGAAAGGGCTGAGGGGAGTGCGAAAGGTATCATCAGAGTTTGTGGAGTAAATCAGTCGTTGTCAAGAAGTCAATGAGAGAGTTAGGATTAAAGGAGGGTCCATCAGCAAGAAGGGAAGGTAAAGAGAGAGAGTAGTAGAGCGGAGACGACGTTGGAGGTAAATTTCTATGTGCTCGTTGATAAAGGGGGTAGTCTAACAGAATGTGGCTAATCGATACTGGAACTTGACACTGCACACAGAGAGGAACAGGTGCCTCTCCATGAGATACCCATGAGTAAGGGAGTGTGGCCATGCGAAGGCGGGAGAGAGTAGTCTCCAACTTGGCACTGATGACAAGAAGACGGCCAGTAACTTATGCTCGGTTTAATAGAATGAAGTTTGTTACTGAGCAGAGTTGACCAACGTTCTTGCCAAAGGGTGTGGAGGTGGGTAGCTATTACAGCAAAATAGTCCAGAAATGGAACACCTCTATAATGAAACTGGTAGGTCATGTACTGCTGACCACGCAGCAGTGTCTGCCTGTTCATTGAGATGCGATACGAATAAGTGCTGCAAGAATGGCATACAATTCAGCAGTAAAAACGCTAGCCGAAGATAGTAAATGCCCTCGCAACGACGCTGTCCGGAAAACACTGCTGCGAATCCGACGCCGTCAGAAGACTTAGAGCCATCTGTGTACACTGCGAGGGCATGAGAATGAGAGTGGAAGTGGTCAAGAAAAAGAGAGCGGGAAGCCACCGTAGGCAGTTGGGCTTTCGAGCAAGGGAGTGAGAAAGAACAGACTCGAACAGCTGGAACTTCCCAGGGGGATAAGGAAAAGTGATATGCTACATGAACATTGTGGGACAAACATGTCACAAAGCTGCATTTTAGTCATCTGACATGCAGAAGGTGCAGGCTATGTTTACACCTTTGAAACTGACAGAGTAGCTTCAGTCCAAAGTATGGTGATATATGCTTTTATATTTACCTAGAGGAAAACCTGTCACCATAAACAGATGATGATTAAGGCCTACAAAAGTACAGATATCTTTAAATACTGCTGGGTGACTGATGCTGTGGTATGGCATATACAAGCCATAAAAAATATACATCATCACTAAGTGACACTTTCATGTATGGTAAGTACGTACAGTGAAACCTCCATAAAATGAACAATTAGGGAGTAAGGGTGTCCGTTTTAACGAAAAATCTGTTACTAATATACTGAAGTGTTCAATAGAGCAGACTGTCTGTTTCATTGATGGACTGCAAGAAAAAGATTATAGGGATAGCCATGTCAGAAGTTCTTCCATTTTTTTTCATTATTATTAACACACTGGCCGATTCCCACCAAGGCAGGGTGGCCTGAAAGAGAAAAACTTTCACCATCATTCACTTCCATCACTGTCTTGCCAGAAGGGTGCTTTACACTACAGTTTTTAAACTGCAACATTAACACCCCTCCTTCAGAGTGCAGGCACTGTACTTCCCATCTCCAGGACTCAAGTCCGCCTGCCGGTTTCCCTAAATCCCTTCATAAATGTTACTTTGCTCACACTCCAACACCACGTCAAGTATTAAAAACCATTGTCTCCTTTTCACCTATCAAACACGCTCACGCATGCCTGCTGGAAGTCCAAGCCCCTCGCACACAAAACCTCCTTTACCCCCTCCCTCCAACCTTTCCTAGGCCGACCCCTACCCTGCCTTCCTTCCACTACAGACTGATACACTCTTGAAGTCATTCTGTTTCGCTCCATTCTCTCTACATGTCTGAACCACCTCAACAACCCTTCATCAGCCCTCTGGACAACAGTTTTGGTAATCCCGCACCTCCTCCTAACTTTAAAACTATGAATTCTCTGCATTATATTCACACCACACATTGCCCTCAGACATGACATCTCCACTGCCTCCGCCTTCTCCTCGCTGCAACATTCATCACCCATGCTTCACACCCATATAAGAGCATTGGTTTTAAAAACTATACTCTCATACATTCCCCTCTTTGCTTCCAAGGACAAAGTTCTACACCATACACCTGCAACATCTGCCACATTGCCCCCCTATCCACCCTGTCATACGCCTTTTCCAAATCCATAAATGCCACAAAACCTCTTTAGCCTTATCTAAATTTCTGTTCACTTATATGTTTCACTGTAAACACCTGGTCCACACACCCACACCTTTCCTAAAGCCTCCTTGTTCATCTGCTATCGTATTCTCCGTCTTACTCTTAATTCTTTTCAACAATAACTTTACCATACACTTTACCAGGTATACTCAAAAGACTTATCCCCCTATAATTTTTGCACTCTCTTTTGTCCCCTTTGCTTTTATACAAAGGAACTATGCATGCTCTCTGCCAATCCCTAGGTACCTTAACCCTCTTCCATACATTTATTAAATAATTGTACCAACCACTCCAAAACTACATCCCCACCTGCTTTAAACATTTCTATCTTTTTCCCAACAATCCCAGTTGCCTTACCCCCTTTCATTTTAACCTACTGCCTTACGAACTTCCCCGACACTCACAACTGGCTCTTCCTCACTCCTACAAGATGTTATTCCTCCATGCCCTATACGAAAAAATCACAGCTCTTCCATTCAAGGAACTTATCCTTTCAGGGTTGGCAGGCCCTCTCCTAAACTTGTTCTCAGGGTTGGAAATTTTTCGAGAAAAAAAAAAAAAAAATTATTTTTTTCTTATGAAATGATAGAGAATCTTTTCCCAATCATAATGACACCAAAAGTATGAAATTTGATGGAAAACTTACGGAATTATGCTCTTGCAAAGTTAGCGGTCTCGACGATGTTTATGCATCGGTGATTTCGCCCAATTTGAGCCCTATTATTGGTCAATTCCAATTTCCCAGTCGACAAAAATCATGCCTATTTCGCTAGAACTCCATTTTGTCTATTGAATGAGTACAAAAAACCCCCCATTTACCGATTTCAACTAACCAATAACGTGGTCAGAAATTGTCACTTTTGCCAATTTCACACAATTTCAGAAGATGCCAATTTCCAAATAGGGTCCAGAATAAACAAGACAAGACATTCCTGGCACTAAAATAACATTTCCTCTGTTGATTACTCATGACCCCAGGCTTCTGCTACATTTCTTTTGCTTTCCACTTTGAATTTTTATTCTCAAAAAATAGAAGATTTATGTTATGCAGACTACTGCATTCGTGTAGAAATGGTGTAAAAATGGTATAAATAATATCAGTGCACTTGTGAAAGTATATCAGACTCGCCAGTTGTTGTGTATCGGACGCATGGCATGATTTGTTTACCTTTGAACTTTGGCAAAAAAATCGAACATTTCTGCTACTTTGAGCTCAATTTCAAGGTACTTTTCATTGTGAAACCAATCAAAATCATCTCAATTTCCATAATGTCTTCCATTCTATAAAATGAGACCAGGAAAAACTAGAATACAACCATAAATAGCATACGAAATACACTGCAAAGCCGCTGTTTTAAACCAAAAAACACGGTCGGAGTTTTTTCTCATTATGCACTGTGTGCTGCAGGATTTTTTTTTATACTGCGCACACTGACCACAAAGACCCATTCTTTCATATCAAGGCCTACCAGCTTTCTCTCACTAGATCTGAAGGCACTAGAATTTATATGTGCTAGTACAGCAACAACCCTGGCGTGCAAGTTGTACTAGTACGGCATCAACCCTGAAAGGGTTAATAGTGTACTGCACTATTAAACCTTTCAGGATTCAGACCCTTGATGTGAAAATTGTTCTCAGGGTCCAAGAATTACAAAACTCTTATGAATCTTTTCTGAAGGTAATGACACCAAAAGTACAAATTTGATGGAAAACTTACGGAATTACACTTTCAAAAAGTTGGCGGTCTCTGTGATATGTAAGCATTGGCGATTTTACCCACTAAGTCTTATTTTAAAGCCAATTCCACTGTTCGAGTCAACCAAACTCTTGGCTATTTCACTAATATGCCTTCCATATTTAAACTATTTCAACTACCCAATAAAATTATCAGAAATTGGTAATTTGGCCAGTTTCACACAAAATTCAAAAGTTGACACTTTAAAAATTAGGTTCTGAATAAGCAATGTAGACATTCCTAGCGCTGAAACATTTCCTGTGTTCATCAGTTGCATCCCCAAGCCTCTTCTATATTACACCTGCTTTCCATTTTCAATTTTTATTCAAATAAAAAAAATAGAAGATTTACCAGTATGCACACTACTGCATTATTGCAATAATTGTAAAATAATGTTAGCTCATTTGTAAACTCATATTAGGCGACCTGTTGGACATGGATGAGTGACGTAATTTGTGGGCCTCTGGAATATCGGCAAAAATTTAACATTTCCGCTATTTTGAGCTCAATTTCAAACCTACTTTAAGCCATGAAAACAATCAAAATCATCTCTTTCTGTAATATATCTTCTATTCTATCAACTGATACCAAGAAACAGTTTTTTTTTTTTTTCAACAAGTCGGCCGTCTCCCACCGAGGCAGGGTGACCCAAAAAAAAAGAAAGAAAACCCCAAAAAAGAAAATACTTTCATCATCATTCAACACTTTCACCACACTCACACATTATCACTGTTTTTGCAGAGGGTGCTCAGAATACAACAGTTTAGAGCATTACATATAAAGATACACAATATCCCCTCCAAACTCCCAAATTTTCCCCAAACCCCCCTCCTTTTAAAGTGCAGGCATTGTATTTCCCCATTTCCAGACTCAGTCCGACATATGAAAAACAGAATACAACCATAAAAAAATCTGAAAATACACAGCAAAGTCCCTTTTTTTTAAACCAAATACTGAGTCTCCCCCTCCCCATCATATGATGCCTGTTTTATGGCAGGATTTTTATATGGTGCACACCACCACATATATCCATTCTTTCATTATCTAGGACCAAATTTACCGCTCACTGCTTATCTGAGTGAACCGGGACTCATCATGTACTACAGCACGGGCCCTTGAGCTCAAACCTGTAGTATGTACTTTAGCATGGACCCCCAAAATGGTTAACTGCTAGGAAATGATAAGATTGATAAGAAAACTCTTTGAAAAGAAAAAACATTACATCAATGATGCCATCTTTAAGGTACTTATCCTCTCTAGATTTATTACAGCTGTAAAATAACACCTCATTTAAGACATTCAAAATTTATATTTTTGAGAATCTACAGATTTAATTTTAACCCTTTCAGGGTCAAGGGGCCCCTCTCCTAAACTTGTTCTCGGGGGTCAAATTTTTTTGGGAAAAAAAAAAAAAAAAAAAGTTTAAGAAAAATCTTTTCCTGATCTAATGACACCAAAAGTATGTTTATTTGATGGAAAACTTATGGAATTATGCTCTCACGAAGTTAGCAGTCTCGATGTTTTTGCATCGGCGATTTCGCCCACTTTGAGCTGTTTTTTTGGGCCCAAAATTCCAGTGTACTAGTCAACAAAAATCATGAATTTATTTTGCTAGAACTTAATTTTTTTTTATCGAATGAGCACAAGAAACTGCCCATTTACTGATTTCAACTATCCAATAAAGTGGTCAGAAATTAGAAATTTTTGCCAATTTACACAAATTTCCAAGATGCCAATTTTCCCAAAATTTAGGGTCCAGAATAAAACAAGACACTTCCTGGCACTAAAATAACATTTCCTCTGTTCATTAGTCACGCCCCCAGGCTCCTCTTATTTTTTTTGTTTTCCCACTTTGAATTTTTATTCTTACAAAAAATAGAAGATTTACTGTTATGCGGGACTACTGCTTGGGTTGTAGAAATGGTATAAATAATATCAGCACACTTGTAAAAGGGAATATTAGACTCACCAGTTGACATGTATTAGACTTTGTGGCATGATTTGTTTACTTTTGAACTTGGCAATAATCAAACATTTCTGCTACTTGAGCTGAATTTCAAGGTACTTATCATTGTGAAACCAATCAAAATTATCTCAATTTCTGTAATATGTCTTCCATTTTTATAAAATGAGACCCGGGAAAAACTAGAATACAACCATAAATACCACATGAAAATACAGTGCAAAGTCGTGTTTTAAAACCAAAAACACGGTCAGTTTTTTTTCTCATTAAAGCATGTGTGCTGCGGGAATTTTTTTTTATACTGTGCACACTGACCACAGACCATTCTTTCATATGTAGGCCTACCAGCTTTCTCTTGCTAGATTGAAGGCACTAGAATTTAGGCGTACTAGTACGTCATTAACCCTGGTGCGTAAGCAGTACTAGTTTCGTCAGAAAACCCCGAAAGGGTTAATGTCCATGTTTAATTCAGGTAAACATTTAATTTACAAGGAATTTCTATTTAACCCTTTCAGTGTTGGTCCTGTCGTATCACGGCTTCGAAGCCCAGTGTTGGTCCCATAGTGTGACGCCATGAGCTAAGCTCACTAGATAAGCTATGAGCAGTAAATTTGGGCCCCAGATACGAGAGAATGGGTCTATGCAGTAAGTGTGCAACCACAAATTCCTGCAACACAGTGCATGAGAAAAAGCTATGACTGTGTTTTTTGTTTTTTTAAAAGAGCAACTTTGTGGTGTATTGTCCCTATGGTTTTTATGATTGCATTTTTGTTCTTGGTTCATTTGATAGAATGGAAAAATACATTAAAGAAATAGTGATGATTTTTATTAGTTTCAGGACTGAAAAAGTAGCTTGAAATTGAGCTCATAGTGAAAATGTTCAATTTTTGCTGATATTTCCAGAGTACACAAATGATGTCACTTGCCCAAATATGTGTCCAAGTGACCAGTCAATATGCATTTAGGAATGCACGGACATTAATTTAGACAATAATATAGTAGTCTGCATTAAAAGTAATTTTCTTTTTTTTTCTTTTTTTTTGTGAATAAAAATTCAAATGAAAAGCAAGCGAAATGAAAGGAGGGGGGCTGGAGACATGACTAAAGAGCAAAGGCAATTTTTTATTTAGTAACAGGAGTGTCTACATTATTTATTCTGGGCCCTTTTTTTCAAATGGGCAATTGCTGAATTTTGTGAAATTGACCCAATTACCAATTTCTGATCACTTTATTGGGTAGATGAAATCGTGTACTCATTTAATAGAAGGAATACTTGTGAAATAGCCGAGTTTTTGTTGACCGGAAACAATGGAACTGGCCAAAAATAGTGCGTAAAAAATGGGTGTAAATTGCCAATGCATAAAAATTGCCAACTTTGTGAAGCACAAATTTCCCTAAATTTCCATCAAATTTCACACTTTTGGTTTCATTACTTTTGTGAGAAGATTCACTATTATTTCGTAAATAATTTTTTTTTGTGAAAATTCTTCAACCCGAGGAGCCTAGTTCTATTGCTAACTTAATATGAGACAGTATAAACACATTATAAAGTGGAACAAAAAAAATGGGCGATTCGCTTACAGTGGTAACCTGGAACCTAACCCGCATTATAAGCGGGGCCCTTCTGTATACTATATTTTTCTAAAAGATAATCAGTTCACATCAGTTATCCAATTTTCTGTAAACAATTATAGTCTTGTGCTTACCTTCTGATGATACAACCTCCTCTCCACATAAGAGCAATACCACCATAGTTTTAAGTTCCAGCCAAATTAGCTGCAGCCTCTCTCAACAGCATAAAACCTTGAGCATATGACACAATCTTGCTGGCATAAAGTGCCTGAAATATTGATAAACAAAGAGAGAATAGAATACCTTACTAGAATTTTTGTCTCCATCCCCCCCTTATACTACAAGTCTTTCAAACGTGAAATAAAAAACATGTTCGGTGTTCAGCTGCTGAGTCCAAAGACAATTCATACAAAGGAATAGGATATGTTAGTTATAAGTATCTGAAAATGACTTAAATAAAAAAAGTAACAGTCCCATTTTCATTAGAAAACTCCTACAGGTTTAGTGCTTCCCCATTATTGTAATAATAATATACACATTATGACAACACTGATAAAAGTGTAATATACACTAAGCTATATATAAAAGTAGACTACTTCATATACAGTGGACCCCCGTTAACGATCAGCTCTCAATGCGACCAATTATGTAAGTGTATTTATGTAAGTGCGTTTGTACATGTATGTTTGGGGGTCTGGAAATGGACTAATCTAATTCACAAGATTCCTTATGGGAACAAATTTGTTCAGTAATGGCACCTGAACATACTTCTGGAATGATACTTCTGGAATGAAATAATATCGTTAACGGGGGTCCACTGTATATTTATTTTAAAATTTTATAGGGAGATTGCACTCTCCTGTCTCCGCATTGGCCATACTCGCCTTACCCATGGGTATCTCATGGATGACGCCCTATCCTCTCTGTGAGGGTTTGTCGGGTCCCTCTTTTGGTTCTTCACTTTCTTTTAGATTGCCAGGTTTACCACCGAACTTGCATTATTTACCTCCATCACCGCCACTGCCCTACCTCATCTTCTTCTTCTTATGGACGGCCCTACCTTTGACTTACGGTTACTTTTTTACTTTTCGTCAGCAACTGCTTTACTATATGAGCTTTGACACAGCCCTTAGTGTCCCTTCCACCCCTTTTCTCCCCTCATTTCTGATTCCCTCTCCACCTAGCTGTTTATAGCCCCAGCGCTATTTTCTACTCCACAGTGCTGTATGACCCTTGTTGGTTTAATGCCGGGCCGCGGGGGCGTTGACCCCCGGAACTCTCTCCAGGTAAACTCCAGGTAGGTTATATTACCAGCTATAATATAACCTTCTTTTTTTGCTATAATATAACCTTTTTTTTTTTGCTTAAAAAAATACAGTGGAACCTCAAATTTCGAACTTAATCTGCTCCAGGAGCTAGTTCTAAATTCGAAAAGTCTGAAATTCGAAGCAATATTTCCCATAAGAAATCATGGAAATACAATTAATCCGTTCCAGAAACCCAAAAATATTCACACACAAAAAAAAAATACATTTTATAGAGATTAATTACAGTTTTACATACAACAAATGCTATAGTCTTTAATTATGTATAGTAATATAAAATAACATTTTTACTTACCTTTATTGAAGATTGGTGATGGCATCTGGAAGATAGGGAGGAGGAGAGAGGGAGTTGGGGTTATTGTCTGGAAGGAGAATCCCCCTCCATGAGAACTTCCAGTATCAAAGCCTTCTCTGGGGTTGCTTCCCTTCTCTGTATTTTAATACCACTAGGACCAGCTTGAGAGTCATTGGACCCCAGTCTCACAAAATAACTGTCTACAGTTGTCTGTTTCTGTCTCACAAAATAACTATCAACAGTCGTCTGTTTCTGTCTCACAAAATAACTGTCCACAATCGTCTGTGTCTCAAAATAACTCCACAGTCGTCTGTTTCTGTCTCACAAAATAACTGTCCACAATCGTCTGTTTGTCTCACAAAATAACTCCACAGTCATCTGTGTCTCACAAAATAACTCCACAGTCATCTGTCTCACAAAACTCCACAGTCATCTGTCTCACAAAACTCCACAGTCATCTGTATCTCACAAAATAACTCCACAGTTGTCTGTCTCACAAAATAACTCCACAGTCGTCTGTTTCTGTCTCACAAAATAACTGTCCACAATCATCTGTGTCTCACAAAATAACTCCACAGTTGTCTGTTTCTGTCTCACAAAATAACTCTGCAGTCGTCTGTTTCTGTCTCACAAAATAACTGTCCACAGTTGTCTGTTTCTGTCTCACAAAATAACTGTCCACAATCGTCTGTTTGTCTTGCAAAATAACTGTCTACAGTCCTCTGTACATCTTGGCAAGCTCAACAAGTCTCACTCCAATCTCATACTTCTGTATTATTTCCTTCTTCACATCTATGGTGTTTCTCACTTTCTTTACCACAGGGGTACAGCTAGCAAGTTTCTTTGGGCCCATGGCAGCTTATTTCACAGCCCCACAAGCACTAAACACAATTAAATAATCGTAAAATGTGTGAATGAGATCGCAGGTTAGTGTTCACTCAAGCATAAAGAAAGCTAGACTGCTCACGGCACCTGCGTGGGGATGCGGAGAGAGCGGGCCAGCGGACAGGTCCCGTACCCTGTGGTTCGAAAATAGGGGCACGTTCGATAATAGGGACACAGTTTGTCCGAAAAAATGGTCTTATTTTCGAAACGTTCGATATGTGATACGTTCGACTTCTGAGGTTCCACTGTATGGGCTAAGTCATTGGCTTGCAGTCAAGACAAGCACAATTTTTTTATTTTAAAAACAATAGTAAAGAAATTGCCAATACTCACTAAAAAATGTGATGCAATGATCAAATCAAGTCAGAATTACACTTTTAGTGCTTATTATCCCCTAAACGGTCCAAACATATATATACATTCTCTCGCCCAATGCCCCGAATATTTTGAAAAATAAAAAAATTTTAATTGAAAGAGAAAATTTTTTCTAAGTGTTATAGGATTAAAAAAAAAAAAAAAAAAACAGGGTCAGTACTTACTGAGATATGAGGCTGCAAAGTTGGAACTTAATGCTCACCTAACGGCAACATCTAGTCTTGCCGCTTGCAGAAGTGTTGCCGAAATACCTTTTTTTCTCATTTTATTTTATATAATTTTTATGTTCTGATAATTACAATTTATAGTAGTTCTTGTCATTTCATAACCAATCTTTGTTCTGACACTAATATTATTTTTTTTTTTATTATCACACTGGCTGATTCCCACCAAGGCAGGGTGGCCCGAAAAAGAAAAACTTTCACCATCATTCACTCCATCACTGTCTTGCCAGAAGGGTGCTTTACACTACAGTTTTTAAACTGCAACATTAACACCCTCCTTCAGAGTGCAGGCACTGTACTTCCCATCTCCAGGACTCAAGTCCGGCCTGCCGGTTTCCCTCAACCCCTTCATAAATGTTACTTTGCTCACACTCCAACAGCACGTCAAGTATTAAAAACGATTTGTCTCCATTCACTCCTATCAAACACGCTCACGCATGCCTGCTGGAAGTCCAAGCCCCTCGCACACAAAACCTCCTTTACCCACTCCCTCCAACCTTTCCTAGGCCGACCCCTACCCCGCCTTCCTTCCACTACAGACTGATACACTCTTGAAGTTATTCTGTTTCGCTCCATTCTCTCCACATGTCCGAACCACCTCAACAACCCTTCCTCAGCCCTCTGGACAACAGTTTTGGTAATCCCGCACCTCCTCCTAACTTCCAAACTACGAATTCTCTGCATTATATTCACACCACACATTGCTCTCAGACATGACATCTCCACTGCCTCCAGCCTTCTCCTCGCTGCAACATTCATCACCCATGCTTCCACCCATATAAGAGCGTTGGTAAAAACTATACTCTCATACATTCCCCTCTTTGCCTCCAAGGACAAAGTTCTTTGTCTCCACAGACTCCTAAGTGCACCACTCACCCTTTTCCCCTCATCAATTCTATGATTCACCTCATCTTTCATAGACCCATCCGCTGACACGTCCACTCCCAAATATCTGAATACATTCACCTCCTCCATACTCTCTCCCTCCAATCTGATATCCAATCTTTCATCACCTAATCTTTTTATCCTCATAACCTTACTCTTTCCTGTATTCACCTTCAATTTTCTTCTTTTGCACACCCTACCAAATTCATCCACCAATCTCTGCAAATTGTACTCAAATTGTCACAAACACACTGACAGATGGACATTTACATCTGCCTTGGTCATTTACTATTGTCTAGGAATATATACGAAGTATTTATAGGTCCCAGCAATGTTCTGGATACACGGGAGTATAGAAGGAGGAAGAGGATGGAAGGAGGAAGAAGATGGAAGGAGGAAGAAGATGGAAAAAAGGAGAGAAGAAAAAAAAGTTCCCTTTAAGTAATGTGTAAGATAAGTGTCAGTGACAAGCATCTGGGAGGGCAGTGATAAGATGAGATAAGGGATGACATTTGATGGGCACCAGCAGGGTGCAGAGATAAGATGAGATAAGGGTTGACATTTGATGAGTGTCGGCACCTTTGTCTCCGATTATCTGTGTCTCAGAGAGAGCCACTCTGAGCCAACAGGTATTCTTATGCATTATATCTACAAGCACAGTATAGCACTTTGGATTTTTTAGGTTATCCTAGGCAATTCACACTATGTGTAATTGTATTTATGTGTACCTGTGAGACAGAGATAAAGAGACAGTGACAGATAGACAGACCCTAAACTTGGGGTTAACACCACTTTACTCTTAAACGGGGAGTGTTAATATGACATTACAACAGTGAATCCTTGGCGTTTGCCACACTGTTTGCTCTAGCTAGTGCTCAATTTAACTGGCGCTCCCACAAGGTATTAAGTGGTCCCAGATTTTTTTAATATGGTGCATCTCAGGCCAATCATGCCAAATTTGGAGGTAGGAAAAATTAAACGTATATATACTTTTGGGGCACTGGCAGTAAGAACATATATATACACGTTTGGATTGTTGAGGGGTTATACAGTACAGTACTGCATTAGCAGATGCTGCTTGACATGTCATACCCCGCCTCAACAATCTGAACAATCAATACCACCATCTACATACTATATACTAGAATCTAGAGTAACATGACAATTATCATGGGGGAGTGCTAAACCCATAGGGATTGTATGGCACCTGTGGGAGGGGGGGGGATGGAAGTTATTCAGGGAACTGGATCACAGATTCAATTCCCTAGATCAAGAGCTCCTCACCAGCATCAAGGAACTTCCCTTAAGGGGAGTAACATGACAAGAAGCAAAAATAATGGAAGTGTCAAGAACAACCAAAGAATACACAGGAACTCTTCATATCTAATTACACATGGAAGGACCAACACCAATATCACCTCACAGCCCTAACTATAACAAAACAATCTTATTGGATTTATCAAAGGAAACCTCCAATGAATTGCAGGCCATCAAGAAACAAGAATTCCATAAACTACAAGATAACTATAGCATCTAGTCTGATACTCTCAAAAACATACTAAACCAAAAAGAGGAGCATTGTAATATAGTAATTTGAGGTAAGCAACAATAAATATTACTAAATACTACAATAAACTCAAACCAGAAAAAGTGAAATCACTGAACGTATGCATTTGATTAAAGACCTCCACACCAAGACAGTTGGGTTATAGCTCTTATAACATACCTTCTCAGCTCTGACTTATTCCTAGTTGAAGAGGCCTTGGGACAAGACAAAACCAATCTTCATAATTATGCCATTTTATCATATAAATAAGTATCTCACCTTTCTAATATTTTCTATAAATGCTTGCTTATCGCCAGAATATTCAGCTTCTCCAGGACCTTCCAAAACATTACTGGCTTTCACACGTTCATCCTGCAGACAAGATCGTGAAGAAATATGTGCAGACAAAAATAAAGTAATGCTAAATCTCAACATAATTGTGTTTACAAGTAGTAAATAATACTATTTCACTAACATATAGAAAATACTGTATTTAATCAAGAATTAATGCATCAACAGCAATATTATAGGAAAGAATATTTTATATTAAATTCATGTAAAATAAAATATTTTTTTGTCCTAAATCTAGAAGTTTCTTTTTTAACACATTGACCATTACCCACCGAGGCAGGGCGAGCTATTAAAAAAAAAAAAAAAAAAAAAAAAAAAAAAAAAAAAAAAAAAATCTTCATTTCATCACTGTCCTGCCAGAGGCATGCCTACACTACAGTTTAAAGACTGCAACATATCTCCACCCCTTCTTCAAAGTGCAGGCACTGTACTTTCTATCTCCAAGACCCGAGTCCAGCTAACTGGTTTCCCCTGAATACCTTCATAAACATTACTTTTCTCACACTCCAACACCATGTCAAGACATAAAACCATTTGCCTCCACTCACTCCTATCTAACACTCTCACGTATGCTTGCTGGAAGCACACAAAACCTCCTTTACCCCTCCCTCCAACCTTTTCCAGGATGACCCCCCTACCCTGCCTTCCTTCCACTACAGATTTATACGCCCTCCAAGTCATTCTACTTTGTTCCATCCTTTCTAAATATCCTAACCACCTCAACAAGCCCTCTAGAAGAACCATACATTAACTATATAATCACCTTCAATGATGATAAACAGCGAGCAAATACAGACTCTGCAATAAGTGTAGTAGGAGTACCATAGTCCAGTCCAGATATTGCTGTCCATTTGCCAGTACCCTTCTGACCGGCAGCATCTCGAATTTTTTCCACCAGTGGAGAGCCTTAAAAATAATACAGTGTGGCATAAAAAAGAGAAATACCTGTGACAATTTATTACCAAGAGGCATTACACAAATGATTTAGAGGTTTAAAGTAATTAGAAAATATATAATATATGCAACAAAGAAAAGAAAGAAGATATTATATACATGAATTAACATTTTTTTTTCAACATGCCGGCCATCTCCCACCAAGGCAGGATGGCCCAAAAAAGAAAAACACTTTCACCATCATTCACAAAATCACTGTACTCAGAGCAAAAGTTTGCAACAAAGTTAGCTTCGGAGCTAAGGGGACAGGAGGGTTAGGGGAGAGATGATGATAACATACAAAATACTGTGTAGAATAGATAAGGTAGACAGAGACAGGATGTTTCAGAGAGGGGACACAGAAACAAGGGGTCACAATTGGAAGTTGAAGACTCATCTGAGTCAAAGGGATGTTAGTAAGTAATTCTTCAGAGTTGTCAGGAAGTGAAATAGTCTAGTAACTGATGTAGTGGAGGCAGGAACCATACATAGCTTTAAGACGAGGTATGATAAAGCTCAGGGAGCAGAGAGAGAGGACCTAGTAGCGATCAGTGAAGAGGCGGGGCCAGGAGCTGAGTCTCGACCCCTGCAACCACAATTAGGCGAGGTATCTTTGAAGAGGAGCACAAATATGGCAGTTCAAATGTCACCCCAAACAGCAAATATCCCAAACCCAAAGTGCAGGCATTGTACTTCCCATCTCCAAGACTTTAGTCTGGCTAACCAGTTTCCATGAATCCCTTCACAAAAATATTACCCTGCTCACACTCCAACAGATTGTATAGTCCCAAAAACCATTTGTCTCCATTCACTCCTATCTAATACACTCACACATGCCTGCTGTATGTACGGTGGACCCTTGGATAACGCCTTTAATCCGTGCCAGAGAGCTAGGCTTTAACCGATTTAGCCTTGAACCGAATTAATTATCCCCATAAGAAATAAAGGAAATCCAATTAACCCTTTGACTGTTTCCGACGTATAAATACGTCTTACGAGCCAATGTTTCTGACGTATTTATACGCACAAATTCTAGCGGCTTCAAATCGAGCGCCAAAGGCCTGATAGGCCTACACGGGAGAGAATGGGTCTCAGTGGTCGGTGTGCACCCTGTGAAAAAAATCTGGGACCTAGCGGTGCATTGTGGGAACGCCATGTTGTCAGTCCATTTTCACCATGCCTCTCGGTAAGAAGTTCCTCACTCCTCGGCGGATTGGAGGTCTTTTGTTCCCAAGTGATAGCTCTAAACAGCGATGAAAGTGTCAGTGACAGTGAATTCAAGGGTTTTCAAGTGAGTGTTACCGAAAAAAGTGCCCAGGATAAGTAAATAGTGACGAAAACCCAGATGACCCAAACCTTCGACCTTGGTGCTGTGCCGGCTTGTTCACGTTCACGTTCGCTGTACCAGGACGAAAGAGGAAACTATTTGGTCGTGTACAACACCCTGATGATAGCAGTGATAGTGATAGTGATAGTGATTTCAAAGTCATTGAAAGCAGTTTAGTGACAGTGAGAGTGAATATTCCCCAGTGAAGCGCCAGTATGTAGACGTAGCATGCGGTCTGGTAGTGTTTTCATATGTTGTTCCAAGGGAAAGGAGAAAATCTGGGAGCACATCCCGTGGCCCAACACCACGACCTGATAGTGAAGATGACGATATTGTAACGATGGGTATGAATGGTGACAGTGAGGGAGGAGGCAGTGGTGGTGATAGTGAGGGTGGCACGGCCATGTGGCACCATCACCGGGCCACGCTACTAGCCACGCGGCTGACTCAGCAGACCAACAGCCTCACCCTACCCCACACTGCCACAACCTGCACCACCACAACCTGCACAGCCACAACCACAGCCACAAACCACGGTACAATATCCAGACCCCACCAGCAGACCGCATCTGGGATTGGCAGGACGGTGACGAGTTTGTTCCCAGTCCCCATGACTTTGATGAAACACAAAGGGAATATAAGCCATCTTGTCCACTTGGGAACAATGCCAGTGAACTGGACTGCTTTGAGTTATTCTTCGATGAACCCCTGATGGACATCATTGTCAGGGAAACCAACACATACTGTGAATACACCATGGCAAATACAATTCTCTCACCAAAATCACGGCTACACAAGTGGAGGAGACAACTGTGGCAGAGATGTACCTGTTTTTTGCCACAATAATGCTTATGCCACATGTGTATAAGCACACTGTCACCACATACTGGACAACAGATCGCCTGATTTCAACTCCAGGTTTTAGTGACATTATAGGTGTCAATCGTTTCCTGATACTGTTGCGTATGTTACACTTTTCAGACAAAACCAGGCCTGACAGAAGCGACAGGTTATATAAGATAAGAAATGTGTTTATGTACCTGAAAACAAAAGTGCTGCATGTATTTTTATCCCTTCAGGAAGCTTGTTATTGATGAGTCCTTGATTTTATTCAAAGGAAGACTCTCATTCAAGCAATATATACCAAGCAAGAGGAAACGCTTTGGTATAAAGCTATTTGTACTGTGTGATTGCAGAAGTGGTCTTGTTTTAGATATTATTGTGTACACTGGCAGTAATACTTTGAGACATACCATGAAGTTATTGGGTATCTCTGGTGATGTGGTTCGAACAATGATGGAACCATATCTTGGTAAGGGGCATATGTTATTTACTGATAACTGGTACACAAGCCCCTTACTCAGTGATTTCTTGCGAGTGAACTTGACAGACGTGTGTGGCACAGTGCGTGGTAATCGCAAACATATGCCAAGGTTCGACGCTGGCACTCGCAGAGGTGAGGTGCAAGCCTTTGCTGCCAATGACATCATGGCATTTCGGTGGCATGACAAACGTGATGTACATTGTTGACATCAGTTCACACAAACGAAATGGTACCCAGTGGCAGGGACAACAGAGAGATCAATGAACCCATTCTAAAGCCTGCAGCTGTCATGGACTACAACCTCAATATGCGCTTAGTGGACAAATGTGACATGCAGATTGGGTTTGCAGACTGTGTACGCAAGAGTTATAAGTGGTATATCAAACTTTTTTTCCATCTTGTTGATATCTCTATGCTAAATGCTTATAACATATACAAGTTGAAGACCAACAAAACACCAAAATATGGTGAATTTTGCCTGTCAGTATCAGACAATAATTGCAAAGTACAAAGGAGCAACTCCTGCAATAGACCAGCGCCCACAGACGTCATCTCGTTTGAGGCCTGGTGATCACTACCCCATACAACTGCCTCCTACTACTGCCAAGAAAAATGCTCAGAAGAGGTGTTATGTATGTATGCATACCACAAAACGCCCACAAACACGCAGAGACACTCGTTTTATGTGTGAGGAGTGTGAAGTGCCCCTCTGCATATACCCATGTTTCAAAGAGTTCCACAAGCTGCAGCAGTTCTAGGAACGTGGTTAGTGACTGTACATATGTATATATATTATGGAACAATAGTAATAAACATTGTTTTGTATTGTTTGTTTGTGTAAACAAAGTGTATACACAAACTAATAGTGATAAAGTTTGTTCTGTTATTGTGTTGTAAATAATGAGTGTACAGTGGACCCCCGCATAACGATGGCATCACATAGCGATTTTTCCGCATACCGATTACTTTTATCGCAAAATTTTTGCCGCGCATACCGATTAAAAACCCGCCTTACCGATTTTCGTCCGAGACGCGTCCAATGTGCCCTCACATGTGCCGGCCGTCCCATTGTTTACCAGCCAGCCTCCGCGGTAACATCCAAGCATACACTCGGAATATTTCGTATTATTACAGTGTTTTCGGTGCTGTTTCTGGAAAATAAGTGACCATGGGCCCCAAGAAAGCTTCTAGTGCCAACCCTGTGGTAAAAAGGGTGAGAATTAGTATGGAAATTAAGAAAGATTTTGAAGGGTTTGGGGCTAACCCTGAGAAGCCTATGCCAGTTGTGGAATCCATTGTGCCTACTTCAAAGATTAAGGAAATGTGTGCACAGTGGGTTGAACTGCAAACCTTTATAGATGAAAATCACCCTGACACAGCTGTTGCAAGCCGTGCTGGTGACTATTTCAATGACAATGTTATGGCCCATTTTAGGAAAGTCTTGAAGGAACGGGAGGTACAGAGCTCTATGGACAGATTTGTTGTGCGACAGAGGTCCAGTGACTCTCAAGCTGGTCCTAGTGGCATTAAAAGAAGAAGGGAAGTAACCCCAGAAAAGGACTTGCTACCTCAAGTCCTAATGGAAGGGGATTCCCCTTCTAAACAGTAAAGATAATGCTCTCCCCTCCTCCCATCCCATCAATCATCACCAGATCTTCAATAAAAGTAAGTGTCATTTAATTGTGCATGCCTTTTTCAGTTTGTGTGTATTAAAATTAACATTTCATGTGGTAAAAAAAAATTTTTTTCATACTTTTGGGCGTCTTGCACGGATTAATTTTATTTCCATTATTTCTTATGGGGAAAATTCATTCGCATAACGATTATTTCGCATAACGATGAGCCCTCTTGCACGGATTAAAATCGTTAACCGGGGGTCCACTGTATATTTGAACAATGCACCTTACATTGGTCTCACAGGCCACATAAGTTACCTGGAAAAGAAAAATATTGAAAAATGCAAGAAACCTTTGAATTAGAGTAAATAAAAGAATACCGGGTGGGCGGCAGTCGCCGCTGTTGCTGTACGCACGTCAATTTCTGCAAACTTTGCGGCTCTATATCTCGGTAAGTACTGATGGCAAAAATTTTTTTTTAGGCTTAAAACACTAGTAAAAATATTCCTAACATTTTCATAAGAAAAAATAATTTTTTTTTTCGAATATTTGGCGACATAGAATGACAGTTTCAGAGAGGGCCCTGAAACAGTCAAAGGGTTAATCCATTCCAGACACCCAAAAGTATTAAACAAAAATTTTTTACATGAAATATACATTTCCCTACACAGAAAACAATGATACATGCACAATAAAACAATAATAA